CATGAAAGATGGGCATTTCCCATTATCAGGGACGCCGGAAAGGGGGGCAGGGGGCCTAGTAAGGGGGCAGGGGGGGGGGTGAAATTGCCCTTATAGATAAAAATTCTAACCCAAAAATATGAGGTACAACGATTAAAAAGTATGAATTACGGGTGAAATGTACGTAATATTGAAATATACGTGAAATTTTCTGGAATATTGTGTCAAGAATTGTGTTTTCAAAATTTTTTGCCCTTTGGTGAATTAAGGTCCCGGAAAAAATTTTCGGAAACGAAATATTAATTAGTGATTGCCCTTACGTCAACATTGCCCCCCGTGCACTACCCTCGCTCTGGCGTCCCTGCCCATTATAACATCTATTGTCCATTTTAACACGAGTATAATAAACGTGAAAGCGTTTCAATTACCACCGTAAAAAGATCAAGATTAAAGCCTGGTTTACACTATCAAAGTTTCGATTCTGTGATCGTAACGGAGGAACAGGGGGCCCTTAGGTATATTTGTTGTGGGGGCCCCTGTTGTCATTGTTTGACTGAGATATTATATTTATATTGAATATTTATAAAATGTTCTGGAAAATTCCGTGTCTATAACAATAACAGTCTCCAACACATGTAACAACTAATAAGAATAACATTTGTTTTATTTGAGATGGAATTAAAAAATCAGCTACCGTTCTCGATGGAGGCTTTATTATTTAGCATTTATATTAATTTTGCATTTTCCCATTGATTCTTAACCTGCATTTTTTACATTTTCTAATTTTCTGGGCGATAGGCCGTGGGTGATGGGGCCCCTAACTGTTGGAGGCCCTTGGTTTTTGAACTAACTCTACCCAATGAGCGCTACGCCACTGGAACTGACTCATTGCCAGTAACACTGAGTTCAGTTCCATCAAACATCAGTAAGTCCTAATTCAAAACTTAGAGTTTACCCATGCAAAATTCCTACTGTGATCACAGAAACTTTGATAGTGTAAACCATCCTTTATAACACTCTCAGTAAGTTTCCTCAAACATTTCTTACAAATCCTTCAAAACATAGAATTTACCTTTGCAAAATTCCTACTGTGATCACAGAAACTTTGATAGTGTAAAACCATCCTTTATAACACTCAGTAAGTTTCCTCAAACATTTCTTACAAAT